ATCTGTTTGAGATGATCTAAATTCTGATGGGCCCCTGAGAGCATGGGCTATCTGGGTGTTAATGCCTGAAAGCATCAGGGCACTCTGCACTTGGCACTCGGCACTTGGTACTCAGCGCTTAGTAGTCAATATATTGTATTTTGCATATATCTCACTCAAATTATATCCATTTGAGACAATCTGAATTCTCCCACACCCCTGAGATCGAGGGCTATCTGCATGTCAATGCCCGAAAGCATCAAACTTCTGATGCCAAAATTCACCCGGTATATAGTATTTTGCTCATATCTCACTCAAATCACATCCGTTTGAGATGATCTAAATTCTGACGGGCCCCTGAGAGCGAGGGCTATCTGGGTGTTAATACCCGAAAGCATCGGGGCACTTGGCACTCGGAACTCGGAACTTGGAACTCGGAACTTGGAACTCGGAACTTGGAACTTGGAACTCGACACTTAGTGCTCAGCACTCGGTAGTCAGTATATTTTATTTTGCACCTTTCCCGAGTACATGCCCTTAATTTCAGGATGAAGTCCAGATGAAATACAATGAAGTCCAAAGGACTTCCGGAGGCTGGCTACTCTGGTGGAGTGCTGGGGGACTTCTGGATGAGCACAGGAACCTTCCGGAGGAGTATAGGAACTTCTAGAGAAGTACAGGAAACTCTGGAGGAGTCTCACCTGCTGCATAGGGTCCGAAGATAAGACTTCTGAAGGTAAGCTTCCTAGGTGGAAGCACATGGAGGAGAGACTGCAAGGGACAGAGTCCAAAGCAGGATCAGATAGGAGGAGTGGTCCAGAGGACAGGACGTCTGAAGGTTGTGCCATCTGAATGTTCAGATGTCCAAAGGTTAAGATGTCCAAAAGGTTATGATGTCTGAAGGTCATGATGTCCAAAGGTTACAATGTCCGAAGGTTTTGATATCCGAAGGGTAAGATGTCCAGAGATCCAAAGGTCCAGAGATCCAAAGGTCCGGAAATCCAAAGGTCCGGAGATCCAAAGGTCCGGAGGTCAGCAGGAGTGGACAGGATTATAGGACAGGAGAATAAAGGCTACCATGGACAAGGTCTGGAGTAGAAGCAAACAGAGGTAGGCTACACTTAGGTGGAGTCGGAGATAACAGGAAGTAGACATAAGTCTTGGAAAGACAGGAAGTAGACATAAGTCTTGGAAAGACAGGAAGTAGACATAAGTCTTGGAAAGACAGGAAGTGCCAGAAAGGCAAAGGTCCAGCTTAAGGAATCAATCCTTAAGCTTGGATAGAGATGGAAGGACAAATCCAAAGGTTTGGAAGTCCAGCCTAAGGAATCCTTCAGGTTGGACTCGGATCTCAGTACACTTCACTTGATTTTCGATATCCGGGACTCCATAGTCAGAACTTGAGTCTTGAATCTCGGGTGTTGGGTGTTGGGTGTTGGGTCTCGATGGTCGGGACTCAATATTTGGGACTCGTTGGTCGGGACTTGATACTCGATTGTTGGGATTCAATGGTCGGGCATTGGGTTTCAGGACTCAAATCTCGGGCTTCGGGACTCAGGTTCCAAGACTCAGTAGTCGGGACTCAATGGCCGATTGTCGGGATTTGATAGTCAGGGCTCGGATATCGGTACACTTCACTTGATTTTCGGTAGTTGGAACTTGGCATTTGGCATTTGGTAGGCTTGGATGATGTTGGCTTTCAAAGATCTATTATCATATATTGCTCAATGAAATACCAGGTGATCGGAAGTGTGCTGGACATCACATATTCGTTTGTTGAGACCCGGGTCTCAGAACTCGGTACACTTCGCTCGAGTTTCCACTTCACCCCTTTGCAAGGCTCCATGCCATACTACATCATTAGATGACTTTGAATTATTACCTCCATGATATACAACTAGCTGAGCTCCATCATGTCTACAATTATCATTCTCCTGGGCCCACCCGTTTATATTATATACCCCTACGTCGGCCTACCCGTCTATGCAATATATGTCTACCATTGGCCCACCCATATATAATAAATCTTTCACCGCTCCCTCGGCCCACTCATCTACAAAATAATACCAATACGTCGGCCCACCCGTCTACAAAATAATATTAATTCGTCGGCCCACCCGTCTAATATGATATATATCTGGGCCCACCTGTCTATGTGATAACAAGCACCCGTGATATACCCAGCTATTTGATACATATCTACCTTGGTACACCCATCTACATAATATCCAACTACCTCGGCCGATCCATCTATTGAAAATTTATGTCCCTCGGCCCACCGATCTACTTTACATATTCCCCACCTGGGCCAACCCGTCTCCATCGGGAATAATAACACTCCCGGCCCATCCGTCACAGTCGAGGATATATCTACCTTCGGCCCATGGTCCGCTGGCCCGTATCATACAGGATATTATGCACGTCCGTTCACTCGTATAATACGGAGATATGTTACTGCAATATGTGGACTGGAGGACTGAAGGCATGGATAAGGGTATGGAGGTCCAGATGTGCATCCGGAAGGCATCTGGAAGGCGTGGGAACATCATCGGATGTAGGTCCGGAATATGGGATATGACAGGTATGATCACTTGAAGGCTGAGTCGCTACAGCTTCCTTTTTTGGCGCTCAATCTTTGTTTCTTCAAAATTCTAATGTATTTTTGCTTTGGTTTAAATATATATTTAATTACATTTGTTTTGAGCTGGATTTAAGCCTTAACTGCGGCTACTTGAACCAGGCCAGGCCATAAATTACATAAGCTATAACTGTGCCCTCAGCTCAGCTATTCATGGCTAAAACCAGCAATAAGCCGGAGCCATGGCAACACTAGTACAGACCATTGCGTCAGGTAGAGTTGAATATAAGCAATATATAAATACATAAGCTCAAGGCAAGAAAGACTTGAGAGTTAATTTGTCAGAAAGTACAAACACCTGCAAATAAAGTCATGTGCAAGGTCAACCCGACTGTGTCTCAGCCAAATACCATACTCCTAACTACTATCTAGGGCTCAGCAGTCTGTACTGCTGAGTCTTCTCTTCGACTCATAACTTCCATCGCTTAGTGGCATGTGCTGCTGGGCATGTTCCAGGCGACAACTACCTCACTGCAACCTATTTACCTGTACCGATATTGGCAACTCTAAATTTTAAACTCCAAAGGCTTATTCTGGGTCTAGCCATAACTGTGGTTCTGCTATTGTTGTAGAGTTCATCCAAGCTGCATGCAACGGTCTGTACTGTTGTTCATTGCATTCTTTCGATCTTGTTCTTGTGCAATGGTTTGTACTGTTGCACATCTTCTTCCATCGCCTCCTTCAGTCTCCAGGCACTATGTCACACACAGTGACTCCCAAGCTTTGTGTATTCCTGCACGAAGAGTGAATATTCACATCTTTCAATGTGTCCTCACTTCCTTCCATGATCCCTCCTATTCCTTGACCCTGGAATTCCAACCTCAAGTCCGATTCTTCCTCTGACAATATCAAAGACGCACTGACCACACAGTGGGCCTATGAGACACGCCCATGGTTTCCCCTTATCACAGCAAAGCCTCATTTTGACAGTGCTGTTTTTTTCTGCCTCAATCATTCACTCTACTCTTTGCCAATAGAGTCTACACCACAAAGGTAGCTGTAAATATGCATTTTCCTTGGTACAGTCAGGCTCCAAGACCTCCAAGAGACTATGGGTACCTGAGGTCTCATGTTGATGTGAAGCTTGCAAAGAAGGTTGCTCTAAGGTCTCGCAACACGTTCTTAGGTATGATGTTCATCTGTATCTGCTGATTATGGCTGATTGCATTGTTCTTTAGGCATCTCAGCTCTTTGCATGTACTTCATTATGGCTCATTGATATCGACCCCATCATGATTCCTCCAGTTGGACTTCTCTCTTGACAAATGACCCACAATATCCTATCCTATCCACATGGGTGATGGAACTCTCTCGCATGTTGTATTAGGAAGGTTTGGCTTCTAGGGGTCTGCCAGAGGTGCCAGGGGTCCTGCCTGGGCCTCAAGGCACTAGGTATATCTACCTAGCGCATGTCTGTAGCTAGTTCTCACCCTATTCGAGCTGTGTTGTTCCTTTTGCTTGGTCTGAGTCCCTCTGAGTGTCAAGTCCCCTGTCCCTCTCCAATGTTTGTTGGGGATCTTACAGATGCCGTACTGCATAATGATATGATTATCAACAGTGCCTACAGCTTGAGCTGGGACACGGATGTCACCATGTTTGAGCACTTCAAAGTTCTGATCTGGGTGTATTGGCCTCCTGACATTCCAGGCAACAAGTTATGGAACCACTACCTCCCCTCAACAAAAGATATCACTGGAGTGACTTGGGGTACTTTGAACGACCTGCAGAGCAATGATCCATGAGACGTTCAGTCCAATTGCCATTCTTGGATCGCCCAATCTATGCTGGACCCTGAGTCCAGCCAGCCAGCATCATTGTCCACTCAACCCCAACAAGACCTCTCCCATTTTCCGCTTCCCTACCAAAATAGTAGGCAAAGGCGTGGAGAAGATTGGCAGGCATGTTTTGCGTGCAGGTCCATGCAGAACGCAAAGAAGGGGGAGAAGGAGACCCCTTCTCAACAACAGGCATGTCTGAGTCGTGAATGTTCAGCGAAGTACCACGGCCTTCCTGGCAGGTCCAGTAGGATTTGGGTGTTTGAGTGGCAGCCCCAAGATGATTACAATGGTTTCATGTTGCACACCCACATCACGACGGCTGGGATTGAAGAGGTCTGGGGAAACTACAGCAAGTCCACTAGGATCTTCAATTCCTTCTCCAATTAATGGGACTTGTGTCTCACCCTCAACCCCACTAGCACCCCTGACAGTGACAATCGGGAAGATGACGATGATATCATGCCTCCCCTCCCCATAACTTCCCCTTCCCATGTTCCATTCCTACCCCCTTCCAGTTTTGCTGCCGATATATACACATACTTTGGCAGCGAAGTTTCACTTTCATCAAGACATACAGATATTGAAGGATTTATTCCCATCTTACATTACCACTTCAGATATTGAAGCACTGCTCCTGCTTCTGCTCCCTTGTCCATATCGATCCTGTCAGTGAGCAACTGGATTAAAACCATGAAATGGGATCAACTTCGCAAGCTCCTTGGTGATTCAACGGCAGAAACGGATTCAATTACAGAATCACAATGCCAATGCATCACGAGGTTCATTGTGTGTCTCGTCAACTTGAAAGACTCTGACTTGAATACAATCCCACCTGACCTTTGGGATCTTGGACCCCTCTCGTCTCTACAGATTTCACATGCTCATATTCATGTTTCTTACACGCAGCTATCACAATATCAATATTATATTATCGAGCCCTGCGACTCCCCAAATCATGTCATCTGGACTTTGGCTGTTGTCATATCCCGTGCCATGCACCTATATCCCACGATATTCCCACGCCTTCTGGACACACATCCGGATCTCTATACCCCCTGTCCAAGCCTCCAGACCTCCAATCCTCTATCCATCCGGATCCCTGCACCCTTGCACATTCACGCATCTGCATATCCTGATCCATGCACCCCCATACTTCCACATATCAATACTCCCATGTTCCATACCTACATCCAATAACATTCCCACACCTTCTGGACATGCATCCGGACCTCCATACCCTTATCCATGCCCCCAGACTTCAGTCCACTATCGGCCCAGATCTGTTTACCTTCACACATCCAATATCCAGACGCCTGATCTGATGTCCGGATCCATACCTTCATATCCAGATCTCCGGATATCATCTGTACCCATCCCCGAACCCAGAACCTTGAATCAGCATCTATGCCCTTATGGTAATCTCCTTGACTCCGGACTTCGGTTATCTGTGTATCCGTCTTGCTGATTGATCCTTGTGCATACTTCATCTCCGAGTTCATTTATTTATGTTCCGACTTACTTACTAGTGTGTTTCCACATGCTTGTACATAGCCTTAGTCCCTCTGCTTACTGATCCTTTCATATGTCAGTATATAAACCCTTGTACAACTCCTAGAGTTCCTTAGTTCGAATATCAACATAGACTTGCTCTCCCGCATCTTAGACTTTACTCTGTATCAACTTAGACTTGCCCAATCTTCTTCTGGACTTTGCTCCATCTAAGTCCTGCCTTTTCCATCAAGGCCTAGGGATGGATTCCCTAGGCCGGAAATCCAGACCTTCGGATTTGTCCCCTATGTCTCTGTCCTGAGTCTAGGGATTGATTCCCTAGACTGGATTTTTGCCTTTCCGGCACTTCCTGTCTTTCCAAGACTTCTGTCTAATCTCTGTCCCTCTGACTCTACCTAGTGTAGTCCTTCTCTGTTTACTTCTACTTCAGACTGCATCTGATGTAGCCCCTATCCGTACTCCATACCTCCGGAACTATATCCTGTCCTTCGGACCTTCAGACCTCCGGTCCTCCTGACCTTCGGACCTCCTGTCCTCTGGACCTATCCTCCTGATGTAGTTCCACTCTATCCTGCTTTGGACTTTGTCCCTTGCAGTCCCCCTTCCATTCTGTTTCCTCTAGAGGCAATGCCTTAGGGTCTCCCTACTTCCATGCAGTGGAAACTCCTCTGGACTTTCCTGTACTCCTCTGGAACTCTCCTGTGTTCCTCCGGAAGTCCTCTAGCACTCTACTAGAGTAGCCAGCCTCCGGAAGTCCTTCGGACTTCATCGGACCATCATTGGAATTCATCTGAAATCAAGGGCACCATACTCGGGTAAGGGGCACAGCGTACGAGCTGAGGCCAAGCCCTTCAGATCCCGTCTACCTTGAGCACGGTCTTAACAGCTAACCTCAACCCCGCTACTGCTGTAATGTGCCTGCACCATGATTGGGGTTCAGACATAAAGCAGATTGTGTTAGCTTTGCTTAGAAGAGGCATTGCATTCAGGACCTTACAGCGAATGACTGTCGCACCTCACTGGTGGCGCCCCCTCTCAGAACTTTGTACTTATACATTGGGACATCAACAACCCCCTTTCAATCCCCCATATGTTGATTACATTGTGTATGAACAACTACATCATGAGTTTATGAATTGTCCCCAGGTGAGGGCTGCATTCTTGCATGGGGGACTCGTATGGCAATTGGCTTTGCACAGCCTGGGTGTCAACCATCTTCCATCTGTCCTCAATGGTATATCAACTGAAGCTGTTCCATTTGGCAACCTATTGGTTGGTGATAGTGGCCAGACTTACTATGACGACGGATTGTCGGAGGAGGAAATCAATTTTATGTGCAGAACATACTACATAGATCACCGTAAGCTTGCTACAGTTCAGTCCCATCAGTACTAATAATCATACTTTCTAGGTGACAGCCCAGAGGTAGTTTCATGGTGGCCTCAGCCCAACGCTTGGAACATGTCAGGCTTGAACATTGGTTTTTGGTCCGCTCGGTGCGAGGACTGGTTTCAAGTACATCTTGGCAACCTTCGAGAAGGTGTTTCCCGCATGTGACATTCACTCACCAAGGACGCCAATTGTCCAATGACCTCCACGCAATGGAAATGTTCACTTAATTTTAACCTGTGACCAATAAGATCATGTGCAACACTTCGGCAGCATGTTATGATTTCATGACAAAAGCACCAGGTAAGAGTTTCTTTACTCCCTTCATATTCATGCTCACGAGTTTTACATGGTTTGGAGTCAGATGTAGTTTTGCATTACTGTATATATATTTTTGCCCATTTCAGTCTGATCGTCATTCGTGCTTGTTGCGGGTGGTGAGTGGGCTACGATTGAGCGATGAGCGGGCAACGATCAGGTGATTTATCTTGTCCAAGGGCAAAACTTGAAGTTTTGCCATCACACTTTGTCGCTGGCATAAACTTCAAAATTTTAGTAGTCCCTAATTAGTGGAGCCCCTCCAGTGACAAATCCCGTATTATACGGGTCACCCGACCTACATAATATCCCGTGTAATACGGGCCAGCGGATTATGGGCCGATGTTATGTATATTCCCGATGTTGACGGGTGGGCCGGGAGGCATATTATTTCCGATGGAGACGGGTGGGCCCATCTATGCTGATGTTATATATATCATCAATGATAGCGGATGGGCCGGGAGAAATATTATTATGGAGATGGGTGGGCCCATGTGACTAATATGTAGAGTAGGATTGACATATATTATAGACCTGAGGAGAGATGTATAGCAAATAGTATTATATAGACGTGTGGGCCGACATATTAGTATTATTTTGTAGACGGATGGGCCGAGGGAGCGGTGAAATATTTATTAGATAGACGGGTGGGCTGAGGGTGAGGGGAATTATTTATTAGATAGACGGGTGGGCCGAGGTGGGGTAATATTAGATAGACGGGTGGGCCGAGGTGGGGTAATAATAGATAGACAGGTGGGCCGAGGGTGAGGTGAATTATTTATTACATAGACGGGTGGGTCGACATGGGGTCATATTAGATAGACGGGTGGGCCGACGTGGGGAATTCTACATAGATGGGTGGGCCGACATCGGGTAATATTAGATAGACGGGTGGGCCAAGGGTGAGGTGAATTATTTATTAGATAGACGGGTGGGCCCAGATACGTATCATATAGACAGATAGGCCTAGGTATTGTACATTTTTACGAGTTTCAAGTCTCGAGTTAAGAAAATTCAAATTTAAGATGATATACATTTTTGTTGTCTTGAAATACCGAGACCCAAGACCCAAGACCTGCACATACTTCAGTCATTTTCCAACGTAGAACCCTGGCTCCGGACATGCCAAAAGGCTGTAGAATCCATGCCAGCCAACCACCGGCCGGTGCACCTCAAACCAGTGCTGGCCAGTCTATCTAGGACTAGTGTTAGCTAGTATATTACAGCCAGGATAGATTATTGACTACATGTAGGACCAGTGCTGGCCAGGTTATACACTTGAATAGTGCTAGCATGACCAGCCTGACTATGTGACATGTAGCATTAGGCTGGCCAGGTATACACTTAAATTGTGCTAGCATACATATACTAGATAGCCTATTGTACCTGATATCCTTGAATATTCCTAGCATAGCCAGCTTGACTATGTGACATGTAGCATTCAGGCTGGCCAGTATACATATTATACTAGATAGTATAATGGTTCTTGATATACTTAATATTTTTCTGGGATGGCCAGCTTGAGTATGTGACACATATCTTTGAGGTTGGTCAGGGTATATACTCAAATAATCCTAGCATGGCCAGCCTAACTTTGTGATATGTAGCATTGAGGCTGGCCAAAGTATATACTTAGCATGGCTAGATTGAGTATGTGACATGTAGCATGGAGGCTGGCCAGGATATATACTTAAATATTCCTAGCATGGCCAGCTTGACTCTGTGACATGTAGCATGGAGGCTGGCCAGGATATATACTTAAATATTCCTAGCATGGCCAGCTTAACTCTGTGACATATAGCATGGAGGCTGGCCAGGATATATACTTAAATATTCGTAGCACAGCCTGCTTAACTACTTCAAAGTGGTGTTTCTGGGCTTTGTGTTTCTCACTTGATTTCAGTGGAGAGCTTCCATTTAAATTGTCATAGAGTAGATTGGTCCTTTCATGAAAAATCATGAGATTCGAGTGATTATGTGCTGGATTTCAATAGAAGCTCTGTAAGGAAACTCAGTAGTCAAATCACTAAACTTCTAATGTATCTCTACTACCTTGAGTTGCCCATGTCAGCCAGCATGGCTCTACACAACATAGAACATTAGCCAAGACCTTGGTTATATTGTCCAGCAGACTGCCCATATCATATAGACTCAGTCTGGCCAGCCTGTCACCTTTCATACCCATGTTGGCCGACTTGGTTCTACACAGCATAGATCTAGACTGGCCAAGATCCTGGTACCCTGGCCAGCTAGCCTCCTACATTGTGTAGACTCAGTCTGGCCAGCCTGTTATCTTTCATACCCATGTCGGCCGACTTGGCTCTACACAGCATAGATCTAGACTGGCCAGTATTAACTGTAGTACATTGGCTAGCAGCACCCTTACACTATATAGTCTGGCTGGCCTCTGATATCTTAGACCCCAGTGGGCCGACACAATTCTACACAATGTCAAAACACACTAGCCAGTATAAAGTGACAATTGTACTATAACATGTGGTCCTTGAACTGATTCTTATCTGCAAACATTGTCCACAATAGCACCTGTCTGTAGGCATAGGCTTGATGACCAGGTTTCATAGCCTCCATTGAACGTTGAATCCATTCACCCTTCTAATGATTAAACCAATTTATGGTCCAATCCATTTCATGTCTTGTCAAATTAAACTCTTCGTCCCACCTCCTCCACCTAGCCTTTGCCTTTAGCCAGTTAACCCTATAGACTGTTGATATGCTGTTAGTTCTGCTTTTTAGATAGACACTACTACTCACATTCATTCATCCAAATATCTTGTTGACTTCTGTGAGCACCATTAACCCTCCAAAACCATGCCAGCTTGTCAGACCCTTGCCCAAACCTATTCTCTTCAGTCACATCCCTATTGACCGTAAGACGTTCTGGCAATATTTCTTGATAAATATTTTCCAGAGTATTGATATTCACTCCAAGTCTTTCCATAGCCAATCTTGCCCTTTGATAGCTTCTGACCAACTTCTCGATTTTGAGGCTGCACCTTTGAGCATCCTGCTTGGACCTTGTGCCAGTCCATACAGAATTAGCACTTCGAAAGTGTTGACGATAGATGACAGCCTTCTGGCCAAGAGCCAAGCGAATATTTTCTAGACAATCATTAGCTTGACCTTTTCTCAACTCTAATTCTTCTTCCTGCAGTTTGGTCAAACTGAAAATATCAGCATAGTCATGGGTCACTGATGATGGCATCCAGATACCCATATCTTCTGCTGGAATTTCTTCATCAATCAATTCTGAATCATCTTCATCCGCAACCTCCCATGCTTGTTCTTCAGCTTCTGCCTGGCAAAATCGAGAATCATCGACATGGACTGTACCCGAATCCAGTTCTATTCCCTGTGTCATTTGATCTGCAGTTTCGTGAAATTTGATGATTCGAGCAGCTAGTTTTAGTCGTTTCTCTTGAAGACCAGCCTTCTGAGTAGCTGTGGCATTCCATGGGAAACGTTGAATATTTGATCGTAATCCATCCCTGATAGGAATGTGATGATATGTTTCACAAAATCTGAAGATGTGACTTACTGAGAGTCTTCTAGATTAATACCCTGAATAATCCAAGAAACCGATCCTGGCCTTCCTATTTCCAAAGTCTCAGATTCAGTTAATTTTAATCGAATTTCAGCCATTGTGGGAGCTTCATAATCCGGAATATGTGAATTAGTCATAAGGTTTGATAAAGGAATACTAGGGAATTTACCTTTGTCAATTTTCAACTGATAAATGTCAAGATGTTCTCCTCGAAGCTCCATTGCAATCTTCTCATCCTTTTCCCACAAAGCAATTTTTTGGGGGTCCAAAGAACATGTCAGCTCATCAAAAGTGATCTTTGTGTCATTGACTCCCTTGACAGCACATTTATACTTTTTCAAGAGAGTCTTGACTGTCAAATGTATTTAATTACATATCATTGACATTAAATTTAGGCTTACTCACCGATCCCAACCAATTTTTTCCAATTTGAGTCCCTCATGTGATCATCCAGTATTTCCTGCCGATGATATTGACTCATTGACCTTGCAGTGGGTGATATTTTGTTGAAAGGTGCCCAAAGAGTCTCTAAAATTTCTCCATCCACTTGACCAGCTCCCTCGATGAAGTTAAGACTAAATCTGGCAAAGCAGGGAAGTTTGTGTGCACTAAGATGGAATTTACCAACAGCTGTCAGAACCTTCCTTTTTTTAGGGAGTGATAACCCTGAGCAATTGTTGACTCGTTCCGAAAAATTAATGCACCACTGACACCCTATATCATATATGATCAGAGAGGTGCCAATATCATGAGAATGATAGCTGATAGCACTGCAGATCGAGTAGTCGACATTCATGTGGCTACCAAGTTCATTAACTTATGAAAACATCTTTAATACAAGATAGAACCCACCGTTCACCCTTCTGAAAATCTACCACAGTGTGAGGAACAAAGCAACCATGATGTGCACAAGCAGTAGCAGCCACTCCAGTTGCTCGAAGATTACTTTGATTTGTGTTTGCTGCATTGACTGCACGGTGATTGCTGCAAGAGGACCTCTGGTATCATCTAGTCAAAAAGTGACAGATAATCCAAACGAAATAGAACACACCTCTTTGCTCTCCTGAGCTGATGACAAATGAGCCTTATAATCGGCTTCTGTCACCATATACCCCAGGCCATCAGATAGGGTGAAATCAAGATGAGGCTGTTTCATGTTCATATGTTGAGCAGTGAAGTTGCCATCCACTACATATCTTTGCATAACTAGCCAACTATTTGGAAATTTGTCAATGATACTGTATAAAACTGAAGATGCAACCAGCTGGCCTGGGTACATTATGTGTACCAAGGCTGGCCAGCACAAACATATATGCTGGCCAGCCAAAGATTATAGTGTGGACATAGAGAACATCCGGTCAACATACAGGCTTAGAGTACTATCAAGCCCAAATACAAGTAGATTCTTACCTTTCATACTTGTCCTGCCAATGAATAGGTATGTTAATACCAGGCTGTGGACAGGCCACACAAAACAGTGCCAGATCACCAGCACCTGGCTTTACCTCAGTATCATGCTCAAATCCAAATTGTTTCCGGTTCATTAAATCCCTCCATTGCCGGGATGCCCTCATCAATTCTCGGTACCGGTCCTATCAAGTGAGTACACCCAGTCAACAATAAATAGAAAACACTGCAGATACAATGACTGACTGGTACAGAGTCTGGGAAGGCATTATTGGTAAGCCGACAAAGCTTTTGAAAGAAGCTCATGGCAGAAGTTTTGCATTCCAGGGCATCTATGAGGAAATGGTCCAGGACCTCAAAGGTAAAGGCAGTTCGAGGACAGGTTGTACTGGCAGGAAACAGCTGTGCTTTGAGCAAATGAAGGTGCTGTTGATGGACAGAGGATTCAGGGCAATGACACCACTGCACGTTGTGTATGAATACTCCTGTGGAGTGCATGATAGTCAAGGCAGTGGTCCTCGGAGCTGGACCTACAACTGTCTCAACTCCAGCGTACTTTTCACTCTCATCTATATTCTCATTAACATCCTCCCATTCCTGTGTGACATCTTGAGAGAATGGACATGGGTGACCCCCATGACCATATGCCAAATATACCCAAGCTCTGAAAGCGATGTATCTTGAAAGCATGTTCCATTCCACAGTTGTAGTTTATGAAATGGTAATGATTGATGGGCTTTGAGGACACAGGTATGGCACCATCCATGTTCACCACTGCAAGTCAGGCACCAGAAGAATCCTTCTCTGCTTGGGCAAGACTGGCAGATTCCCTCATTGATGATATTTTCAGACTCCAGGATGATGTCCAAGTACAATTGGCGAAAAACAATATAATTTTCAATGAAGTTATTTTGAGTCTTTATTTCAACCTAGTAAGCAGTGCCTTATATTGTTTGTTAGCTGACCTGCCTTGGTTTGTTGTCTTATATTTTGTGAGCTAAAATCACCATAAAGCTCTCTGTCAAAGTCTTCCGGAATCCTCTCCAGTTCTTCAGGGTTGATTTTCTTCATTTTCCGTGGGCTAGAGGATTTTGATGACGACTCTTCTTGCGAAATCTCATATGAGGGATCAGCAGAAGCCTCAACCCATAAGGTCTTCCTCTTTTTTCCTTCTCGTTTTTGGTGGGTGACATATGCAACATCCAGGTCCTTTCTTTCAGATAATCGACCCCTTTCTTTGTAGGAGAAAGATCGAGACTTGAGACGACTTTTTCTCTGGTGTGACATGAGAGGATAATATCATATAGTATTGTGAAAAATTGTCAAAGTTCACTAGATAGACAGTCACTATGTACTAGCCTAATTAGTCAAAGGTACCAAACAGCTTAGACCATCATCACCAATGTCCGGTATACCAGATTAACCTCCACTATTTCTTGACTAGTTTGTCCTCAATCTCTTCTTCAGCCGCTTGACCCTCTGATCCATTCCCAATAAGCGCAAAAAATCCATCTGAAGTGGAAATGCAGGCCTAGAAACCCCTACCCTATTATGTACCTTATCCTTCATGAAATGTGCAATGACAAACCGTTCTCCTATTTTCCAATGACTAACTGAGTGCTTCAAAACCTTCCCAGATCAAAATAAGTTGTTGTGGGAGAACAAATAATAAATTCTCACCTTTCCAGCAATATAGACCATTGTTCCAGGGGAATAAACCAATTCCGCACCTATATCTTCAATAACAAACATAGCCTCATGCGCGATGCCCAAACTAACAAGCATGTCATAATGGGACGGAGCTCCACCAGGATCACGATGACTCAAAGTCATACGATTCACAATGAGTTCCAATCCTGAAAAAATGGAGGGCCACCGAGATGTTGGAACTGATTTTCGAGTTGACCTAGTTTGGCCTAATACCTTTGAGAGGGCAGCACTCCCTGCCTGAAATAGGCCAGGTGCTATGACAGCGGTTATCGCATTCCAGAAATATTCTGTGCTTGACATGTCCTCTAGCCACTTTTGGACTGGTTCAGTGGAGTACGTTTTTGATGTTACTAATGGATCCACAAGCCTCTGAATTAATTAATTACTGTCAGATTCTTGATAACAACACTGTTGTAAAGCAAATTACCTCATGTCGTTGCATGAAATAAGAAGGAGCCACAGTGACTCGACCTGCCCCAAATGTCCCCCCACCCTCTGGCACCAGGAAGTCATGTGAGCGCCATGAAGACTTAACCTCAGTATCTGATCCACTGGGAATTGTCTCAAGCAGAAGCTTCCGAAGGCCCAAGGTGGCGGTATTGATAAAGTTCTGATAGTTAGTTAACCACTGACACATGATGTTAATTTAGAAGCTTACAATACGTAAAGGGGATAGAATGTCAGGTAGGAACCAAACCAAAATCTTTCCATTGCAGTCAACAATTGTAGCCGGCTCAGAAATTTTACCCATCACAGTGGTGGCAAAATATTTTTCAAGCTTAGCACGTTCTGTTTCTCCATTGGACTGAACAGGTGAACATTTGACCATCTCTGCATACCAATCAATGTCCCATGGAACATAGTCTATTCTCACACACATAAGTCAATATGAAATACTGAAAGTGATTACATACAAGGGTTCACAATTGCATGGGCGATAGTGAGGGCAGCGCACTCAATTTCATAGTTGGAAATTAAGGAAGTTGAACCATTATTGGTTGTTGGTTCATTTAACCTACAAGCATTGAGTCTCAAATGCAACCTCAACCTAGACTACTAAGTGAGATAGTGTTGAAACATTGGAATAAGTACATGCCTAGTTTTTTGCAAGAGATGTGACTGGAGTACACCATCTTTGATGACTGGTGGTGCACAAGGATCCAAATTCATTATTTTGTGCATCTTTGAAGTGAGCAATTGATGTAATGCCGTTGACTCAGTGCCATTTGCGCTTGACATGGCAACCTGAAGTGTGTAAAAATTTTACACTTGATTCGAACCACCTGAGCTTACTAATCATTTGAATTTCCCAATTTGATCTGTATCTTACATAATTCAATCTGATCTCGACTGTCATATTTGATATATAGTATTTGGTACCAATACTTACTATGTGTGCAGGAACAGAGAGAAAGTACCACTAAGTACCATGTCCTAGTTCTGAGGGGGGGCGAGTTGCTACTATACTGGTTGGTAACCCCATGTTATTAAGTGAATGCAGTTTACATTTGAGAGACATCAATGCTGAATGTAAACTGCATTGGTATCACCGCTCCACTATTAAGCGAATGCAGTTTACATTCAGGGGGTGCCAATACTGAATGTAAACTGCATTGGCATCACCGCTCCACTATTAAGCGAATGCAGTTTACATTCAGGGGGTGCCAATACTGAATGTAAACTGCATTCGCTTAATGGCGGTGCTATAGTGCTGAATGTAAACTGCATTGGTGTCACTGCTCCACCATTAAGCGAATGCAGTTTACATTCAGTCAGGGGACGGCCAGCACCATTAAGCATATGCAGTTTACATTCAGCATTGGTGTCCCCTGAATGTAAACTGTATTTGCTTAATGGTGGAGCGGAGACACCAATGCAGTTTACATTCAGTCAGGGGACGGCCACCACTATCAAGCAAATGCAGTTTACATTCAGCACTATAGCTCCGCCATTAAGCTAATGCAGTTTACATTCAGGGGACACCAATGCTGAATGTAAACTGCATTCGCTTAATGGTGCTGGCCGTCCCCTGACTGAATGTAAACTGCATTCGCTTAATGGTGGGGCGGCAAAACAAATGCAGTTTACACTTGACTGAATGTAAACTGCATTTGCTTAATGGTGGTGGTCGTCCCCCTGACTGAATGTAAACTGCATTCACTTAATGGTGGGGTGGCAAAACAAATGCAGTTTACACTTGACTGAATGTAAACTGCATTTGCTTAATAGTGGAGTGGCAAAACAAATGCAGTTTACATTCAGGGGACACCAATGCTAAATGTAAATTGCATTCGCTTAATCGTGCTGGTAGTGGACGTCCCCTAGATGTAAACAACATTGGCTTAATGGTGGTGGCCGTCCCCTGACTGAATGTAAATTGCATTTGCTTAATGGTGGTGGGTTGATTCCCTCCTTTACACCCAGGACAGCAAACCCTCCACCATTAAGCAAATGTGGTTTACATTCACCATGGAAGGAGCGAATATCAGCATACACTACAACTCAAACTAGTTAGTTAGTATAGTCACCAACTGATCAATATCTCACACCGATCTCGCTGACTAATTATTCACACAGTCATGTAACTTTTGCGGCCGGCAAAGAAAAATGACTACCGCTGATACATTTGACACAATAAATAAAGTACAATTAAATGTATTACAAATTTATTCAACTACAAGTTCAACAAATCAAAGGAGAGATACAAGACGTGGGTGAGGGGGCCCTCCTCACCCAAGTCCTGCCTCCAATAGAAAAGTAGGTAATAAAAAGAGAAGATACAACTCGAAAAATCCTGTGAACATGTTAGATGATGCACTGAAACATAGTTCGACACTTAGCTTTCAGAAAGAGTATTGAGGAGAAAAGTCCTGTGGCGAACTGGTCAGTAAGGGACATTATGAAAGCTGCCCCACCTACCCATAGAAAATTGTGCCGGTAACCAAAAAAAAAAAGTCCTGAGAACTGGTCAGTAAGAGAAGTTAGGAAGGATGCCGCCTACCCATATGAAGGGCGCCCCACCTGCCCATATTAAATTTGCGCCACTAACAAAAAAAGTCCTGTGGGAACTGGTCAGTAAGAGAAGCTAGGAAGGGCACCACCTACCCATATAAGATTGCGGCGCTATCAAAAAAGTCCTGTAGTGAACTGGTCAGTAACATTGATTATGAAGGGCGCCACTTACACATGTAAGGTTGCGGCGCTAACAAAAGTCCTAGAGTGAACCAGTCAGTATGAAAATAACTAAAGGCGGGAGCTACACTAAGTAGCATGCACCACACCAACCCCCAGATCCCAAAGGCAGGAGCTACACTAAGTAGCATGCACTGCGCTAACCCCCAGATCCCAACAACAGGCGCTGCTGAAAAAAGAACAAATAATGTTAGTAAACTAAGAGGAAAGAGAATGGACAAACTAGAGTTAGTAATTGGGAATGGCAGCAAGGTAGCGCGCCAACTCCCAGATCCAAACAAAAGACACTATGAAAAAACAAAATCAGTAAGTGGGTGTGCCACAAAAAAGAGCATGCACCGCGCCAACCGCAGGACTCAAACAAAAGACGCTATCGAAAAAAGAACAAACAAATTCAGTAAGTGAGAGTGGATAAGAACACCACTTAGCTCAAGTATTGGCAACTGTAAGGCAGAGTCTTTGGATCATTGCAGGGCTGCAGCCCCTGCAATGATCCAAAGATAGCCTTAGGTCGCCAAAATGGCTGACAGGCTGACAGTGTAAAGGGAGGGGTGCAAGCGGTGAAGAAAGGGAAAGGAGGAAGGAAAGATGAACCGTGGGAAGTTGAACTTAGAGTAGATAAATGTGTCAGTTTGTGAGTGTTTGTCCCAAGAGCCACAATGTTTGTTTGTTTGTTGAACTTGTAAGTTTTGTCCTTGACCACATTGTTTCTGTTACCTGACATTGTCTCTGTGCCGCTTCAAGTGTGTATGTAAGTCTAGAGTTTTAGATATGTCTTTGTCTATCAACTAATTCTTTTCATTGTCAATTCTCAGCGGTTTCTGTTCCAATGCCTTTTGCTGGAACACAGGTATGTAAGTTCACATTTGGGACACATTTTAGACTACTAACTACTATTTTTGGACGCGTCTTAGCTCATCGAGAACCACAGTCGCTATCTGTTCCGGTGCCGTTTGCCGGTCCATAACATGTAAGTCTACTTTTGTTGAGTGCGTCTTAGTCCACCACTTAGTTCATTGACTACCACAGCCGCTATCAGTTCCCACACTTCGTGGCATGTAAGTCTTCTCTTGTTGAGCGCCTCTGAGTCCACTAATTTCTGTCCACGTCTCAGTTCACCCTTCTCACGTGTTAGATGGCCCGCACCAAGAATACAGCAAAAAAAGGCCACTGGCGGCTCGCGTCAACCTGGACTTAGACGGTGCCAGCAACGCGTTGGTTGTGATGGAGCCGAGGTTAGCAGTATGTGAGGGGTTCAAACACAATGAGGTGAGTCTTTCTTTCGCTTCAGCTGAATTTTTGACTAACCGGCCATCAATTATTGTAGTTCTGTATCATTTGCAGGGACGGTTCTGTTGAGGACAACTATCTCCTCTTGTGCGACGAATGTCCACGTGTCGTCTGCACCAATTGCGTCATGGTACCCCCAGCCTTCACACAGGCCATCATGTCACCACATGTGACCTTCCGGTGCATCTGCTGTCACATCTCAGGACAACACCGACCTGACGGTAGCTTGTCAGTATACCATGTAAGTATCTAGCTCTTTTCAATATTTGTTGATATGCAATACAACTACAGGGCTTCTATAGAAACCAGAAGCCGCTACTCGACACCTTCCTCCCAATCCACGCCACCCTCGAATTATCTGTCCGGGCGCAAATCTCCTCTGAGTCCCTGCTCTTTGTTCATCTCATCCTGACAGATTACGATACTGCGGGAGGGGCATTCAAACTGGCCTACCATTTTTTGAAGCCTTATTTTCCCAACGGTGGCTTAGTGTACCAGGAGGTAATGTTTGATGTTGGTACAGTCTCTAAGGTCAAGACATACCAAGCGAGCGTCGACGATTTGGTGCGCACCCTATCAACTAACAACTGGAAGCGCGTTGTGTTTGGTATATCCAACCACACCGACAACACACATGGAGACCCGTTTGTAGGCTATGACAAAAATAAATATGTCGCCACTCCGGTTGACAATGTGAGTGTTTTCTCTTTTAATTTGAATAATTTGTCTCAATTGTTATAGTTTTTGAACATTATCCTTGCGCCTTGGCAGGTCCTTGTTGATCATGCGGCTGAGTCATTCCTGTGGTTCTTCTCCTGTGGTGCGCTTGTCAACAATGCTGAGTCATTTTCTAAGTTGCGCGTTTCAGTCGCCCGGTAAGTACATTAGTTTTGTGACTCATAGCTTGTACTAATTTGACACAAATAGTCATGGTCTTTCCGCAGCTGTTGCCTTCGATGCAGTCCGGTTCCAACCAAATTTTGCCGCCCATCTCTTGCTTCTTCAGTGACCTGGTCCTCATCCAACGTCTCTCCATGCGTGACACTTTTCCTGACATGCTTGGGCAGTCCTACATGCTAGGGCCGCCATTCAGATGTCTTTTTGCTGGTAAAAAGTAGCAACTCCCTTGACGTTTCAAATACTCCTGGACTCACTCACAGCTGCGCCCCTGGGGGGACTTCCTGCCACTTCAATGCCCTGAATGTGGTCTGGTAGATGCTTGGAGTTCTGCTAACCATGCTAAGATATACATATTTGAGTGTAAGGGTGTTGGATGCAGGAAGAGCTTTACCTTTAGCCCACCTACTCACTCAAGGGTCCTTACTCCAGGCAAAACTCGCATCACCTGCTGGATTGAAATTCCGGTATGAGTATGTCAATTTTTAGAGTACCTAGATACTTTGCCTTGATATGTATCTCAATTTTTAGGGTACCTAGATACTTCACCTTGAATTTATGACACAGTTTCCCTGCTCATAAGTCTGAAATCAGGTGTTTGTGTGTTTAAATATAAATGCGGTCCATTGATCTCAAACACGGTCACATGACCTACATGACACGTTGATTACAATCATGTGACTGATTGTTGAGATTATCGGCCGGCCACACAGAGACTATCTGTACTGTTCAACCTTAGCATTACATTTTAAAACCATATCTCCTGCTCATATATCTATGTCTTCAGACTGGACACATAGCTTCAAGGCTATTCTTGTCAGTTATAAAACTGACTTTTTGGCTGCGAAACATTCAAAGTCAGAAACGGTCTCGTGTGATCAAGAAAATCCGCAAGGCCATAGTTGCAGCTCACAAGGAACAAGGATCAAAAGTTACTTTGCCGAGTTCCTTGAAGAAGGTGTGATTTGCACAAATAAAATATTTGATTAGTCTAATGCTATGCTACTTGCAGGCAATTAAACAATACTATGCAGATGAAGTTGAAGTTGAAGAATCTGATGGGGAAGAAGCTACAAAGGAAAGGGAGATCAGTGCCCGTCCAAAGGAAGCTTCATTCTACAAGAAAAAGCTGACTGACTGGGATGTTGCTCAGAAATGTTCAAACAAGAGATTGATGAATTTGACAAGGCAGAGCAAGCAAGAAAAGGTGACAAGGATCCTATCAAGTTTCGGACTCGTCATGCACGAGAATGGTTCAACAAATGACACCTGCACAGAAGAAACAAGTTGAGTATGCATGAGAGAAGTGGAACAAGGAGGGGGCACCTGAAGAAAGTCAGGTTATGTGAGCTTAGTGAATTTTTTGTGCGGTTTCAAGTCTAATGTCAGCTTGCAGTTACTGCAAGAACAACCTCAAGAAAGTGCTTGAAGAATTTTCTGAGCAGCTTCGTCGAAGTATGGGTTGCCATGTTGTGATGCTTGTCAGTCACAAGAAGCGGGTGGACCAGACATTGAATGTCACCTTGTGTGTATTCAGGTCATCTATAAATATTTAAACTAACAAACTACACCCCCCTCCAGACATGAATCTGTGCCTCAGAATGTCAAAAAAGCTTCTCTGTCAGCTCAGACAGTATCAGAGAGTGGGCTTCAAATGGCTTTGAGTTTTTTGGAGAGTGGGCAAAGACGGAATTTTGTATGTGTATCAATTCTTCATTTTATGAACACTAGTTGACCATAATTAATAGACCCAACAGCTACTCCAGGCAATGAAGAAGAGGATGAACATGAACTACCAACAGTCATCTTTGACGAAGAAGGCTATGCATAACTTCCTTCTCATGAGGGTGTCACGCTCAAGAATCAACAAGAACTGGTCCACATGATTTTTCATGCTGCATACAGTAAGTATCTATGTCATGTATTCTATACGCTTGCTAATTCAATGAGCTTTTGTAGAAGTTTTCACAGGTAGCCATAAACCTGTGCCTTGGCGCTCCATAACACCCTTGTCCATCTGAGTATCTGGAGGCTGGTTCTGTTCCTGATGACCTTATTATCTGTGACCCCTCTCACATGAGAGCCAAGGACATCAACACAATTTGGCATTATTGGGAGAGGCGTAGCATGGCACAGAAGAGACTTGTCACTTTCACAAAGGCAAGGTCATGTGACATGAGAATTAATGCAGTGAACAGCGCCAATGTCAAAGCTAGTTCCAAGAAGGACAAGCCATATATTGAGGTTGGCTCTGAAGCTGATGAACAGCATAGTTCAGCTGGATTGGATACTACATTGGCTGTATCATCACCAGCTGAGGTGCCTCGAGGTCACCGCTTTGAATTTTTAGATGCTCTTAGCTCGGATAGGTCTTACCTAGAGCTTGTAGATGCAGTCAAGGATCTGGCTACAATAACTGAAAACCTTGTAAGTGTTTATTTAATCTTAGATATATATTGATCCTAACACCATTCACTAGCCAACACCAGAGGAGCAACTCAACTTACCTCCCTGGGTTAATTGGTCTTCAAAAGAGTCTTATCTTCCTGCATCTGAACACATGTACCTGGATTCAGTGATAGGCAGCTTGGACCTGCTGACAGAGGCCCCAATTCAATCTGCATACTCAGCTGCCCTAGTGGTATTAGGCCTTGGATTGCTTTTGAGGGACTGTAAGCGCGTCATGGAGTATGAAGAAGATGAGGCCCACCCTGATGCCCCCTACTACTTGCCCATTTCAGTCTTGGACCTTCAAATCATCCTAAAGGTGGACAGTGCAATCAGTCATGTCACAGGTACTGTTGTAGGTCTCATTGAGTTGGCTATGAGGGCGGGTCTCCCTGACAATAGTGATCAGGAGGAGGAGATGCAAGGAGCTAATGGTGAGAAGGATCAGGAAGACGAGCAAGAGGTGGTGATGGGAGATGTAAATGTGCAGATGCAGGAGGTGGAGAAGGATCATGAGCAGGAGGGCAAACAGAAAGGTAAGAAAAGGACCAGATCTCAGACTTCTCAAGTGAAGACCAAGAAGGCAAGGACTGAAGATGAACCTATGCGTCGGTCTACCAGAACTAGGCAACCCTCTAAGAAGAATATGAGGCCTTAATGGACTACTGTATATAGCTTATCCTTTAGTGAAATATTTGTTGATTGTCTTCAGAGTTTATTGAATACATGATATGCTGGTCATCACATTTGTATGTCACCTTAAGGCAAGTTGGCTAGATCTACTCTATAGTTCGACTAGCAAATGATAGCAATATTTAAATATTGTCTGGCCAGCCACAGTACTACATGTCATATAGTCAAGCTGGCCATGCTAGTAATATTTAAGTATAGGCTGGCCAGCCACAGTACTACATGTCATATAGTCAAGCTGGCCATGATAGCAATGTTTAAGTATAGGCTGGCCAGCCACAGTACTACATGTCATATAGTCAGGTTGGCCATGATAGCAATATTTAAGTATAGGCTGGCCAGCCACAGTACTAGTCAAGCTGGCCGTGATAGCAATGTTTAAGTATAGGCTGGCCAGCCACAGTACTACGTATCATATAGTCAGGCTGGCCATGCTTAGAAATATCTAAGTATAGTCTGGCCAGCTCCAATTCTACATGTCATATGGTTGAGCTGGCCATAACAGCAATATCTGCCTCAATACTGTATCATGTAGTTAAGCTGGCTGTGCTAGGAATATTCATCAAGTGTATACAACTGGCCAGCTTCAATGCTACATGTCATATAGTTAAGCTGGCCATGGCAGAATATTGAAGTATACCTTGACCAGCCTTAATGCTACATGTCACATACTCAAGCTGGCCATCCCAGAAAATATCAAGTATATATACTGGCCAGCCTGAATTCTACATATCACATAGTCAAGCTGGCCATGCTAGCACTACTATACTATGCTAGGAATATTCAAGTATATAAGCTGGCCAGCCTGAATGCTACTTATCACATAGTCAAGCTGGCCATGATAGCACTATTCAAGTGTATAACCTGGCCAGCACTGGTCCTACATGTAGTCAATAATCTATCCTGGCTGTAATATACTAGCTAACACTAGTCCTAGATAGACTGGCCAGCACTGGTTTGAGGTGCACCGGCCGGTGGTTGGCTGGCATGGATTCTACAACCTTTTGGCATGTCCAGAGCCAGGGTTCTACGTTGGAAATGACTGAAGGGTCTGAGACCCAAGACCCGAGATTCGGCACTCAGTAGTCAGTGAAATGAGTACAGAAATACATAAGATAATACACATTGTTCTCAGAAATCACAAGTTTCAAATTTCGATTTGTGAATTGAGTCTCAAGTCTTGAGACTCAGAATCACCGAGTACCAAGTACCAAGTACCGAGTACCGAGTACCGAGTACTGAGTACCGGGTACCGGGTACCAACACCCAACACCCAACACCCAACACCCAACACCCAACACCTGGAATTCAGCACTCGGCATGTAAGAGAGTTGAGTTTGACATGAGCTAAGATTTTGTCTCAAAACATAAAAGCACTCATAAAAATAAAATAAGCAATAAGGGACAAGAATAACATCTGAAGTGAACGATGAACGGCAGAGCAGCTTCCTGGCTAAATCCTGCACAGCATCGCAACAGGGACCAAGTTACCACAACACTATCCAGCTAATAATGCACAATCGATTTTCACTTCTGCTGCCACCCATTTTTGTCGTCTTGAAATACCAAGTACCGAGTACCAAATCTCGGGTCTCGGTACTCGGTACTCAGTACTCGACACGATGCTCGAAACTCGTAAAACTGTTTCGAATCACCGAGTACTGACTACCGAGTGCCAAGACCCGAGATTCGGTACTCGGTACTTGGTAGTCAGTACTCGGTGATTCGAAACAGTTTTACGAGTTTCGAGCATCGTGTCAAGTACCGAGAGTACCGAGTACCGAGACCCGAGATTCAAGTGCTTTCGAGTTTCAAGTTTCAAGTTTCAAATATGTCGTCTCAAGTGCCGAGTGCCGAATTCCGGGTCTCGGGTCTCAGGACTTGGAACTCAGTGACTCAATCAATGGACTGGCAGAGGTTACATTCATTGAAAACTTGTATATACATCTATCACTATGCAATTATGTAGCCATGTCAACCTCCACAGAAGGCTCTTCAACCTTCACCTCCACCTCAACATCCATGTTGCTGGAAGAGTCATATTCTGGGACAAGGTTGCTTGGATCACCTGGGTCCACAATTTCGCTGGGTGCATCTGGATCCTCTGGATGAACAACTTGGTTGTAGTCGAACAGGAGACCCTCAATGGCAGAGGCATCCGGCAATGTTGGGGCTGCAGGTGTGGGAGCCATTGTTTTCATACTGAGATCAATCAGAGGAGGGAGTGCGGATTCTGGGGGTGACATGGTGCGGGGGCCGGATTGATCAAGCAACAAGGATGTTGCAGGGGCAGGAGTGTCGGGAAGTGGGAATGAGGGGTGCCGGTCGATGATTTCGCGCCTAAGGCCTTCATGAAGGCGTTGCAGGGTGTCAATCTTACCATCCTGCTCTGCCACACGAGCCTCGAGAAGAGCGATTCGAGCTGCGCCATCTCGAATCGCAATGGACATGGCATGGAGATCTGGCATGGGCACCCCAAGTGCTGCAGCAGGGACTGCCGACCTGGAAGACGGAAGGGCTACAAGGGAAAATGAAGGTCAGACGGTGAAGAATGAAAAACTCAGGTGACTTATGAGCTGGTGCAGGTGCAGGTGCAGGTGCCTTGATGGCAGTGATAGTCTTGCTGCAACCACGCGTCTGGGTCTTGGGAGTGGTCACAGCAGTGACACCAGAAGTTCCGGCCAGGCCACGAGACTGACTGTGAGGTTCAGGCCCTGGACTGGGAGGCAGGGGAAGCTTTGGAGGGGGGTGGGAGTTGGGATGCGGGGGGAGCCTTGGAGGGAGTCCTTGGAGGAAGCCCTGGATGGTGTTCTGGACCTCGTCTTCCGGGTAGTAGAGGAAGAACGATCGTGAGGAGGCAGGGATCCCATAGTCGCGGGGGGTGCACTTGATCTTCTTTGTTGTGCAGTAGATGCACAACATACATGGAGCCCTGGTCCTCTTGTCCGGCCGAGTTGTGCAAGGCCAGTTGTGCTTGTGGCAAGCATAGCATGGGTTGTTCTGTTGGTTGTATTAGTGTATGGACACTCGAGATATTTCAAAGTACTCACCGGTCCGGGAATGAGAATGTCAACTGCAGGGACGACTGGGGGTGCCTGCACCGGAGGTTCGGGAGTGGGCTGGGAGGGCTCCACAACTGCTGCGTGACTGCCGGCAATCACCTGGTATAATGTAAGGACACACCCGAGTCCCGGACGCATAAATGACACTTACTGTGGCAGGGCCAAAGGGCTTCTTCTTGGGTACCCGGGGCGAGCGAGGCGAATCAGGCGTCCTTGCAACAATTGTGGAGAGCCGGGGAAGGACAACCTCCGGCACTCCACCCAAAAGTGGCTACACGAAAATGAGAGACAATGAAAAAATGAACAAGACGACATACCTGCATAACCGAGTCTTCATCATCTTCCGACTCCACAATGGCCTTGGACTTCACAATGCGAGCAGACCTCTGATGCTTGTGACTCTTCATCGCGGATTGGGCCGGCGACATTGCCGGCAGGGATGGCTGGGGAGGGAAGATTGACAGGAATCGGACCTGTGGATGGGGGGCAGCAGTTGTGAGATTGAAGGTCTGGTCGCCTAAGGCGTTCCAGGCGAGGACCTTGGGGTACCAGGTTTGCCTCAGAATGCGAGGATCGTCATACCCGATGGAGTGCCAGTCTGGCCAGACCTTGGGAACCATGTTCCGGATGCGCTAGAGCTCTTTGGAGCATGAAATGATGAGGCCGGGAATAGGACCATCCCTGGACCATACTCTGGCTACATCAGACTACCAAGATGTTAGAGAAGAAAAGCACCCAAAACAAACCTACCACAAGTGTAGCAACCTGTTTTCCCAAAGCCGAGTGGCTGGGACCCGGGGGGGGATCTGCCGGGCAGCACTGATGATGGCCATGATCTGGGCAGCGGATGCCCTTGAGATGGGTCAAAGAGTTGTCAACTGGAGTGGACATGATGAGTGGGTTGAGAGATTTAAAGATCTTGAAATCAGATTGAAATCAGTTATCAGAAAGATGAAGTTTCAAACAAACAAGACATTTGATGGGGCGATCCACAAATCGTTTATTGTTTGTGTTGTTTGGTCGTGGTTCAACTTTCGGCAATTGCTGGCTTTTGTTGAAACTTCGAAGTTTTTTTAGATCATCAGTCAATCAGTCCACCAATTCTCCACACATGAGTTCCCATCCAGCGTTAGATTTAATGACCCACCGGTGACCGACTATAATTCTATGGATGTGGATGACTCATCTATGGGCCGGGCATCACTAGGTATGTTGTATTCTTATCATGCCTTATCTATTCACTGGGTATCCCTTAGATGACTTAGATGACTTATACCTTGGGCCGGATGATGACATAGAATATGATTCTATGTCATCCGGACCCCTGGATGCGTCAGCTGCAATACCCGGTGTAGAGACTCGCGTTTCTGCAGGCACATACAGTGGCTCAAAAAACTGTCCGCATGTTTGACATTTTTCACTATCTATGATATTGTGTGAGAATGAACAAATTCCTCAAGGACATACTTATACCACATTGTAGTATGGCTTCAGGGCTTTTATTTGAGCCCTACACCGTGGGAATCGGCGGAGATATGGTGGAGATATAAGGCTTATAAAATGATGACTCATGTGGACAGTTTTTTGAGTGTATATTAAAACTATATAAATCATTATTTATGACACCATAAAAATCATGCCACTATTATATAAATTATAAGTGGTGTCATTATGTTATTTTATGACTATATCTAACTATATAAACCAGAATATCTCATGTATCTAGTCATAATCACCATGAAAGCCATCTCCTCTGCTCAAAGAGATAATATCCTCTCTCTGTCTTATGCTGGCCTCTCTGCTCGCCAAATTTCCTCTAGAACTGGAATATGCAAGTCCACTGTGGCCAAGTTCATCAAAGAAAGCCACCCAGACAAGGAAAACTCTTGTGGAGGACGTCCATCCA